CTCCTTGCCCTTGTATGTCCTTCTATCTTCCAGGAAAGGGACTGTGGCCTTTGACACTCTCCCCAGCCCCCCAGGACCTGGTGCAGTGCCAAAACCTAGGAGGGGCTCAGTGAACACGGGGTTCTCCTCCCCTGCACACTGGCCACAGCCCACCCCCTACGCTCTGCCCTCCTGGTAAAGGCTGTCCTTAGAGCCCCTCAAAAGTGAGAGCTGTATCCTGAGCCCCAGGGAGCCTGCACAGCCTGCGGGGGTGGAAAAGGTGGGAGGGAAGCTCATCCCCATGGCCAGCTGACAGGGTCAAGGGGGAAACTGCTTTTCCTGCTGGGGCCCTGGGGAGCCTCCTCTCTCAGAGAGGCCAGCTGGGTCTCTGTGCTTGAGCTCCAGGGGGCCAGAGGGCAGGGCAAGGGGGAGGGAGGAGAGAAGGAGCAGGGGTGGACAAAGGGGAGAGAGAGGAAGGGGGGCAGGGAGAAGAGGAAGGACAGGGCAAAGGAGAAGGGAGGCAGAGGGAGTTGGAAGAGAGAGAGAGAGAGGAGAGAACCAGAGGCAGAAGGTAACAGAAGAATAGAGAGGATCAGACGCACAGAGGAAGAGGCAAGAGAAGAAGTCAGAGAAACAGGAGAGGGAAAGCAAGTCAGACACACAGAGACAAAATGGTAAGAGAGTGCAAGAAAAAGAGAGAGACCTAGACAAAGGGAAAGACAGGCAGACACCTCGAGAGAACAGAGAACAGGCAGGTGAGGCCCAGAGAAAACCCCTGAGCTTCTGCACCTCTCAGATTTTCTCTCAGATTTTCTATGTGTCCGTGCTGTGAGGCCTGCTGGCCTGGGGTCAGCACCACATCAAACTGGCCATTAAATACTGCTGTCACAGCCACCAATGACCTGGTTGTTATCAGCCTGGCCACTTGGGCCTGGAGGAAGCTGTCTGGGCCCAGGGCGGGAGTGGTCAGCTCCTCGAAGCCATGGGGACAGGTCCCTCGGGGGGCCTTGACTTGTAACAGGTTCTTGGGAAAGCCCCTGCCTACCCTCCTCCAAGCACATCCAGAATTTCTTAAATTCCCTGCCTGTGGGACAGGGAAATTTCTCAAAGGGCATGGAAGACCTTAAATAAACCATTCAGGCTTTATCATGGAAAGAATCTGGGCTTTGGCAACGCACTCTGAGTTTAAATCCAGACTCTGCTATCTACTTGCTGGGTGACCTTAGGCAAATGACCTCCCCTCTTTGGGCTTTGTATCTCCCAAATGTGACTGAGGTCCCTGAAATAGCTGTTGTTCTCATCCCTTTAGTGAGCAATGAGATTTTACTGAAGGTTTCATGGGGCCATGAGGGAGAGTGACATCACAGAGAATGCAGGAAAATTGAACAGAAGTCCCGCTAGCCCTCTTGATTCTCCCTACGCGTTCCTCTCTGCCAGCAGCAGCTCTGACTCTCTGTCACCACCGTTTCTTCAGGCAGCCGCTCCAGTCTCCCCGCATCTGACATTTTTCAGTCTTCTCATTGCTTTTCTTTCTCTTATGCAGAACAATTTAGGTCTCTCATTTCTTGGAATCTTTTAGCCTTTTTACCCCAGGAAGGAGTCGAGCATCATTGCTAAGAACAAAATCTCCAGAGCCAGACAAATTGGGTTCACATTTCAGCTCTGCTTCCGATCAGCAGTGAGGCCTTGGGTGACTGGCCTCCCCTCCACGTGCCTCAATATCTTCATCCATAAAATGAGTTGATAAGACAATGCCTCCTGGGAAGAGCTGTTGTGAGCATTAAATGAGTTAATATAAAATGTTAGTGTAAAGCATTTAACAACATTGCCCAGCACAGGATAAACACCAAATAAATGTTGGCGATTATTATTATCACCTCCTAAGTCGACAAAGGACCCTCCTTAAGATCTACCTTTTTTGATGGCAGTGAGGAGCTGTAAATAACAATTTTCCCTTCCACAAACAATTTTTCCCATCCCATGTCAAATAGACAGACTAAATCGACGTTTACCATGCTCTGCGGCCACCTGATATTTTTTGAAACCCCTTTCTATGTTTGGGAAAATTTCCACATGATGATTCTCACCTCCTTTTTCTAGCCTCTTCTGCAGCTAGGAAGCAGGCATGAGACTCACGCTTTGCCAATCAGAAGTGACAACATCCAGGAGACTTGTGTTGCAGACATGGGACAGGGGTGGGGAGCATGCCAAATCCATTTTCTAGCAAGAGCGATGAATGTTGGAGTGGTAGGTGCCCAGAACCTGGGGTCAGTGGTGGCTACCTTAGGGCGGGTCATCCTCCCTGGACCTGCGCTATAGTGTGGTTTGGGGTTGCTTCTTGCTCTGCAGCCCCCACGCCTGACTCTCAGTTTCGCTCGCTGGTTCTATAATCTTCTTAATAGCATTTAGTCCAGTGGTTCTCAAAGTGTGGTCCCAGGACCTGCAGTTAGAAACTTGTAAGTTATACTGGGAACTTGTTAGAAATACATATTCTTGGGCCCACTTCAGACCTACTGAATCAGAAACTGTGGGGTGTGGGGCTCTGTTATCTGTGTTTAACAAGCCCTCCAGGGGATTCTGATGCTGGCTCAAGAACCACTGTTCTAGTAAATTTCCTTTCTAGTTTCAAGACAGCATGGATTCCACTGTTTGCACCCGAGTTCCCTAAGTGAATTGCTCCCTCTTAAGCTCTGGGGAATTATTAGGACAGCCTATTTGAAAGTTCCTGACACACTCTAGTGCCCAGTGCAGGGCCGTGGACTTCCTTTCTTCTAGCCATCTCTTTACAGCATTGCATTTTGATTTAAAAGTTATTTTTTGGTTTGGTTTGGTTTTAGTACATACTATGTGCCTGGCACGAGAGAAAGGTTTTTTAAAAAGTGCTTCAGATCTTGTTGGAGTGTCACAACCTGCATTCACGATGCTGAACAACAGGAGAGGATAAAACAAAAGCTGAGTGGGGAGAGTGCTGTAGCAGGGCGGAGCCACTGGGGAGTTCAGGGCAGGCTTGCTCAAGGAGGGAGTTATTGAAATGCATCTGTAGAGGTGAGTGTATTAATCAGGACTTTTTCTTCTTCAAGTGACAGAAACCTGACTCAATTGGCTTAAAGAAACAATGGAATTTATTGATTCACATCAGTGTAATGTTCAGGAGTAGGTCTCTAGATTCAGGCATGGCTGGATCCAGGTGCTCAAGTGAGTAATACCATGAAGACTTTGTCTCCATCCATATCTAACTCTGTTTTCCTCCTATTCACCCCACTCTGGAGTGGATCCTCTCTGAACAGTGGCACAAATGGCCCCCAGAGCTATGGTATTATATTCCAACAGTTTAGCAAACTCAGAGAAAGTCCAGAGTTAACTCTGAATACACCAGCTTGGGCCACCTGCTCATCCTGGAACCTATCGCCAATGGCCAGATGAATAGAGAGTTCTGACTGACTGAATCCAGGGTCACATGTCAACCCCTGGAGGCAAAGGATAGAGTCAGCCCCATAGAAACAAAATGGACCAACAGTGGGAGGGAGGTGCTGCCCCACATGGAAACTAGGAAGAAGAATGAGATGCTGGGAAGGCAAAAAACAACATGATCCATCAAAGAAGACTGACCAGGTGGTAAATAGGGAAGAGGGCATTTCAGGAGGAAGGAAGGATGTATTAGTTATCTATTGCTGCGTAGCAAATTACCATAAACTCAGTGGCTTAAAACAACACACATTTGTGATCTCACAGTTTCTGTGGGTCAGGAATATGGGCACGGCTTAACTGAGTCCTCTTCTCAGGGTCTCATGAAGTGACAAAATATTGGCAGGGGCTGCAGTCTCATCTGAGGCTCGACTGGGGAAGGATCTACTTCCAGGCTCACACAGTGGTTTGCAGAATTCAGTTCCTCGCTGTTGTTGGAGCAAGGGCCTCAGTTTCTTGCTGGTTGTCAGCAGGGGGCCTCCCTCAGTTCCTTGCCCCATGGATTCCCCAGCATGGCTGCCTGCCTCACTGAAGCCAGCGAGGGAGACAGAGCCTCCTCAGGAGAAGAGTGTTACAACTCACGTAATGGAGTTATAGTCAAGTGATCATGTACACCCCATCACCTTTGCCACATTCGGTTGGTTAGAAGCAAATCATGGCCCCACCCACACTCAAGGGGAGGGGATTACACAAGAGTGTGAACTCTAGGAGGCAGGAACATGGGGTCACCCTAGAGTTCAGCCACCACACACAGCCTGAGCAGTAACCTGGAGTTGAGATTCAAATCAGATGGGCAGAGGATACTCAGGAGGAGGCACATGGGCCTCGAAAAGAGGTTGTTCCCCTCTTATGCCATAAGCTCTCAAGGGTAAGAAATCTTGTCTGGTTATTTGTGAATTTCATCAGTGCCCTGGCACGTAGTGGGCCCTTAGCAATACTTTGTTGGACTGAACCCTTGAACTAGATGACATACCCAAACTCCCATTCATTAATTCAGCAAGCATTTGCTGAGCCCTTCCCATGCCTCAGGCCCTGGGCCAGGCACTGAGACACCATGTGGAATAAGGACAGGGTTTTGCCGTCAAGAACTCACTGGAATAACTCACAGCTGAACAGTCTGACTGTTTATGGCTTGTTGTTTATGAAGCCCTTTCACATATCCTGTCCCATCACCTGGTGTGTGGATGCTGTTGAAGAATCGAAGTTCAGACGGATGAAGACTCTACAAGTCGACAGCTGGACTCCCACCCCACTGCTCTCTCCTAGGACCGCGCTGCCTGGCATGCACTGAGCCCTAAACCCAAGACACTGCCTGGGCCTCCTTCCCTTGTCTGGCTCAGAGTTTGGGAGGAACCCTGCGGTGGCCCTCTGTGGGGCTGGGTTGTCCTCCTCGGAGAAGTCGCTTGGGGCTGTGGAAACTGGGGAAGGGCCTGACGTGTGTCCTATGCCTCCACCACAGACCTGATAAGAAAGTGACCACAGTCCTTTTTGGATCACTTTCTTGGTCAAAAGAGGAACATGGTCTTGGGTGAAAAGGGAAGATACGGAGAGAACAGCCACCGAGTGACTTGGTCAGCGTGGAGGATGGGACGGCCAATTATCATCTCAGGGTCCCGCCTCCTGGTGTCTTGGTTCATGAGGTTCCCTCTCCAGGTGTGCTTCCTATTTACTCCCTTCCTTTTCAAAACGTACCTATTGCTCAAGGTCCGTGTGCAGGCCCACCCCTCCAGGAAGGTCCCCGCAGGGCACAGCTCTCACTGCCTCCTGCCTCCTGGGACACAGCTGCTGTTTGTTTTGCGTTTGGGATTCTAACTTGGTTGGAGGCAGGAGCAGATCCCAAGACAAGGATTTGAATACAAGTCGTTTATTTGGATTATATTCCCAGGCAACTTGGGTAAGGGAGAGGGCAGGTGAGACAGAGAAGGGAGGAAGACTGATACAGCGTGTGCCGTCAAGCCAGCTTCCATTGCAGGGAACTGCGGACCTCTGTAGCCAGCGCAGAACGCGCACCTCCCAGTCATCTCACCCCGGGATGAGGACCCTGGGATATTTAACTACCCACTCCCTTCAGAGGGCATCCACTCCTCAGCACTCCCAGCCTTCCCCTGAGTTCAGCAGAGCCCTCCAGCAAAGTGTGACAGGGGCCGGCAGACATAAGTTCACCGGGGTTCACAATATTGGGGTGCTAACCGTGTCTGCATCAGGGTAAGATTTTTTGTAACAAAGGGTTTCCCTGTTAAACATAAAACTTTGAAAACCTGTGACGTAAGTCAAAACCCCCATTTCACAGGTGGGCTGGTAGAGTCCCAGAGATGACAATGAATTTTCTCGGGTTGACCAGCAAGTTAAGGAAAGAACCAGGACTAGAACCCAGAAACCAGGTCTCCAGTCTGGGAGTCCAGCACTCCTTTTTTTTCGTTCTTAGTTTCTTTCAGTTTTGAAATAATTGTAGCCCAGCCTTTCTTTTTTAAAGATTTTTATTTATTTTTTTCCCCCCAAAGCCCCAGTAGATAGTGGTATGCCATAGCTGCACATCCTCCCAGTTGCTGTATGTGGGACGCGGCCTCAGCATGGCCAGAGAAGCTGTGCATCCGTGCGCGCCTGGGATCCGAACCCCGGCCGCCAGCAGCGGAGCACGTGCACTTAACCGATAAGCCACGGGGCCAGCCCTAATTGTAGCTCAGCCTTTCTAAACGTTAACATCTTGTATAACTACTATACAATATAAAAACCAGGAAATTGGTATTAGTACAATCCACAGGGTTTATTCAGATTTTACCTGTTATACATGCATTCCTCTGTGTGTGTGTGTGTGTGTGTGTGTGTGTGTGTGTGTGTGTGTGTGTGTGTAGCCCTATGCAATTTTAGATGCTCCTTTATAACCACCCCCCGCCAGCCATTCCTAACCCTGGCCATCTCTATGATGATGTCCATTGACGGGTGTTGTATAAATGGAGTCATACAGCACGTACCCTCTCGCCAGAGGCGTTTATCACTCAAAATAATTTTCTTGAGGTTCATCCATGTTGTGTATATCAATAGTTCATTTCTTTTTACTGCTGAGTAGTATTCTATGATACAGATGTCCCACAGTTTGTTTAACCATTCATCCGTTGAAGGACATTTGGCTGGTTTTTGGCTATTAGGAATAAAGCTGCTATGAACATTTATGTACAAGTTCCTGCATTGTGGCAGGCAGAATAATGGCCCCCAAAGATGTCCATGTCCTAATACCCTGAACCTGTGAATATGTTACCTTACATAGCAAAAGGGACTTTGCAGGTATGATTAAGTTAAGGACCTGAGTCATTGAGGTTTTAGCTGATCACATAGCTGCCCAACTAAAGTCTACATGTCCCAGCTCCCTCACTGCTATACGTGGCCATGTGGCTAGGTCAAGGCCAACAGATGTGAGTGAAAATGATGAGTGCACCTTCCAGATGGTGACCTGTATTAGTTATATATTACTAAGTAACAAATTTTCCCAAAACTTAACAACTTAAAACAACAATAGACATTTATTGTCTTACTGTTCCAGTGGGTCAGGAATTTAGGAGTGGCTTTGGGCCAGCCCCATGGCTTAGCGGTTAAGTGCACGCGCTCCACTGCTGGCGGCCCGGGTTCGGATCCCGGGCGCACACCGACGCACCGCTTCTCCAGCCGTGCTGAGGCCGCGTCCCACATACAGCAACTAGAAGGATGTGCAGCTATGATATACAACTATCTACTGGGGCTTTGGGGGAAAAATAAATAAATAAAATTATAGGAGTGCCTTTGCTGAGTGGTTCTGGCTCAGCATCTCTTATGAAGCTGTCATCAAGATGTCAGCTGGGTCTGCAGTTATCTGCAGGCTGAACTGGGGCTGAAGAGTCCACTTCCAAGGAGGCTCCCTCACCTGGTGGGCAGGTGCATGCTGGCTGTTGGCAGAGGCCCAATTTCCTCACCACATGGGCCTCTCCACAAGGCTGCTTGAGTGTCCTTGCATCATGGCGGCTGGCTTCCCCTGAGCAAGTGATCCAAGAGAGCAAGGTGGAAGCTGCAAAGTCTTTATGAAATCCCTAAGCTTGGAAGTCACATTCTGTCTTTTCTGAAATAGCCCATTGGTGACACAGGTCATCCCTATTCAGTGTGGGAGGAGACTTACAAGGCCATGAAGACCAGGAGGCAGGGATCATTGGGGACATTCTTGGAGGCTGGCTGCTTCATGCCCTTAATAGGAAAGGAATGTGCCAGCCCCGCTCTCTCTCTTCCCTCTGTCTGGAATGACAAGTGAATTGCAGTTTTGTGGCTTGAGGGCATGGGAATACGGGCAACCCCCTAGGGATAGCTGAGCAACAAAATAGAAGGAGCCTGGGTGCCCAGCCCTGGTGAGCTGCCAGGCGAGCCCCAGACCACCTCCCTGGACTGTTGCATGAGAAAGAAATACCTCTCTGTCTTATTGAAACAACGATGCTTTCCACACTGTTACAGCAGCCTAGTCTGTCCTCTAACTAATATTGTCCCTTTGGTGATGCAGTGAGCTTGTATCCCCACTCCCTCAGCTCCTTGACCTCTGGGAGGTTAGGCAACGGGAAGATAGTGATTGGATTCCATCAGCTTCTGCTCTGGACTCTCCCATCACTCAGACAGTTCCCAGCAGTCTAGAAAACAGGACAAGCAATCAAATTTCAGCCCTATTCCTCCCCTCCCAGCTGCTCCCATCCCTTTCACTGCTCAAAGAATGGGCTAAGAGCATCATTCTCTTGCTTGAAAGCTTCTTAAAACCATAAGATTGCAAATTGCCCTGGAGCAGGAGCCCACTAACCATTAGCATCACTCTGTAAGTAGGTCTCTGCTTTCCTAATACAGTCCTGGTCATCTGCTTTGATGCATTTGGCAGTCTAGAAAGTTCTTTCCCACCAATCTATTTTCTCACTTGACCCTGTGAGTCCCATTTTGCAGGTGAGAGAAGCGAGGCTCAGACAGAGCTGGAAGGGACAGAGAGAGGAGGAAGCATGAGGTGGTTGCCCTTCTGCTCCTTGGCTGTCTGTGTTTTCCTTCATCACAGCCTCACCCTCTGCCCAATGTCTGCAGGCCCCTCGAGGGCAGGGGCGCGGTCTACTTTGTCATTGTGTGCTCAGTGCTCTTTTAGGAGTTTGCTGACTGAATGAATGAGGGTATTGAGGATGTTAAGTCATGAGGGTCCTACGGAAGCCAGAAAAGGGAGGCCACAGGAAGGCCAGGCTACCTGCCCCTCACCATGCAGCTGGCCCTCTTTAGAGCCAAGCCTGTGAGAAAGTCTTTCAAAGCCAGTATTTGCCGAGTGCTTCCTCCACACTGGGCAATGAGGTGGGCACCGTTATTGTCCCCACTTTACAGATGAGGAAACTGAGGCTTCCAGCAGAAAAGCATCTCCCAGACCCTTGACAGACAGTGGTTCTGTGGGAACCACTGTCCCCACTGGGAGACTTTTGGTCAGAATAGTTCAGAGGCATGTGGCTTTCATTTTATCCCAAATTTTTAAAAAAATAATATTAACACGTGAACAAGGTCTGTTTGGCCCAACCATCTGGCAGCTGCTATTCTGCTCCCTTTTGATAGTCAAGTCTGTCTGTGGGGATTCTGCCAGCATCTTCGCTGGTCTTAGCAGAGCCCATGTTTTCTAGATGAACGCAGACACCAGTCTCCACGACCTGATGGCTTTTCTTCAGCTCTGTGGGAACATCCACTCCTTTACATTCCCTCCAGCTGTGCCTGGGAGTCCCTAGGGAATTTCCTCCTGGCCAGTGGTTTTCTGAGAATTTACTGGAACAGCTCTTCCTGTTTTGCTCACTCATGACTGCCTCTCTCCTCCCCAGGAGTCGAGTTTGAGCTCAGGAGGGCTGCTGGCGGGATTAATTCATTCATCCGTTCAAAGGTATACTACATTTTGTTTTTTTTTTCCCCCAAAGCCCCAGTAGATAGTTGTATGTCATAGCTGAACATCCTTCTAGTTGCTGTATGTGGGACGCGGCCTCAGCATGGCCGGAGAAGCGGTGCGTCAGTGCGCGCCCAGGATCCCAACCAGGGCCGCCAGCAGCGGAGCACGCGTACTTAACCGCTAAGCCACAGGGCTGGCCCCATTCGAAGGTATAAATTGAAGCATCTAGTATGTGGCAGGCACTGAGCAGAATGGTAAGGACACAGGTGGACCTTCCGTGTGGGCCTGCCATCCTCAGACTTACAATCCAGCAGGGAAGACAGATGTGAAGTTAACAATGATTGAAATGGTGAGATACCACTTCACACCCATCAGGAATTAGAAACGTCAATACTCTCAAGTATTGGTGATGACATGGGGAGAAGGGAGGCCCCAAGCACTGCTGTGAACATGTGAATTGGTACAGCCATTCTAGAAAGCAACTGGGCAGTATTTGGCAAAATTAAATCTGGGCATGCCTTGTGACCCAGAAATCCCACTCCTGGGGAATCATCCTACAGACACTCTCATACGCGTCCCTGAGAGAACTTAGGCAGGGACGCTCCTTGCAGAGTTGTTAGTGGCAGAAGGTGGCAGATCCATGACAGGGAAGTTAGAATGACATCAGAAACAACAAACTAGACGTACATACAGCAACGTGGACAGAGAGATCTCCAAGTCGTGAATAGGGTGAGATTTAACTTTTGAAAATTAAAACACACAAGAAATCCTTAAAAGAAAATTTACAAGATTCATGCATGTTTGGGGAAGGTGAATGGGAGGGGAGATCAAGGAGGAAGGAAACAAAATAAATAAGAAAGAGATCTTCGCATAAACTACCGAAGAGGGATTCCTACAGCCTGCAAGTGTGACAACTCAGCTCTGTGTATCTGGAGGTCCTTAGAAGCTAAATAAAAACAAATAACTACACTCACGAACGAACAACTAAGCCTCATGGAGATCATCTGAGGGTCACAGCTGAGGCTGCTCTGCTCTCTGTTCATAATTCTCCCTTCTGGCCTTGGCCCAATAGCCTCAAACTAACCTTCCATATTTAGACTCTCTTTTACCTTCCAGTAAGTTCTTGCCCAGAAGCCTCCTGGACCACATGCAGATAAGCCATGTTGGATGCCCCAGAACCTCCAGTCTTACCTGAATCACAGGTGAATACTGCTTATGCCTCCAGAGGAGCCTCCAGGTGTGCCTGAATCATGGAGCCATTCCTTCTCCTGTTTTGTCATCACGGATGGAGTACCTGCTGGCTGTCAGGCACTGGGAGCGCAGAGGGGAAGGACAATGATACAGAGCACTGCTATCTTGCTTACAGTGTGGCACGCACTATTCTAGTGCTTTTCTTTTTATCAATGCACTTATATCCACTTTAACCCACAGAGACTTACAGCATTGACTGGACGATCGTGGAGTCCCTACAAAAGACATGGATGGGCAATCTACTAAATTCTTCCTGGATCTGTGTAAATGGAAGAATTCTAGGTCAAGTGAACAGACTCTGACTTGAGTCACCAAAACAGCCACAGCCCTCAATTAATTCCCACACGTGAGCCAGGTTACAGATCCAGACGCCTTGAGTGAAGGAGAGGCTGGCTCCCAGTGAGCAGAGACCCTGCTATACTGCTAAAAAGTTATACTCTTGGTCTTTGTCCCAGCCTACCCCAAAAGGACTTCCAGTCATTTACCAGGGTGACGGCATTAGGGGAGGGAAAAAAGCGGACTTTTCTGCCTCTGAACTGACACTAATTCCAGGAGACCCGCCTGTCACTGTGGTCCACCAGTCAGAGTAAGGGCGTATGGAGGTCAGGTGATCAATGGAGTTTTAGCTCAGGTCTGTCTCACACTTGGCCCAATGGGTCCCCAAAACCATCCTGTGGTTATTTCCCCCAGTTGTAGAATGCGTGATTGGACCAGATGTCCCCAGCGACTGGCAGAATCCCCATAAGGCAGATACTGTTATGATCATCCCCATTTTGCAGAGAGAGATACTGAGGAATAGGAGGTTAATTAACTTACCCAAGGTCACACAACTGGGAAGGTTGGCTCCAAAATCCGCATCCTTAACTGTTAAACTGTACTGCACATAAGTGCTTGCGGCTTAGTAGGGGAGAGAAGCAAGTACACAAGTAATAAATGCATTGTAGCGTTGCAGGGATGGAGATGGATGCAGCGGTTATGGGAGTCCGGGTGGTGGGGTGGGGTCAGCGGAGGGTTACCAGCAGGGGCGGTGTCTAAACTCAGTGTTCAAGGATGAGTTGGAGTTAGTGAGACTAAGGTGGGTGCTCCAGGTGGGCAGAGGAGCCCCACAGAGGAGAGGGGCAGAGGCAGGACCATCGAGTGGGCAGGGGCCCAGGCAATGTGGAGCGGCTGTGTGGACGGCTCATGCTGTGCGAGGTCGGCGTGAGTGATCACGGACTCCTGGACGTGAACGTGCCAGGACGCCCGAGAGGCTGCCACGGGCAGAGTCCTGGCCCTGCTGCTGGGTCCCAGGAGCCTTTCTCAACACTGCAGTTTGTGACATTCCAGAGCGTCCTTGACATGTGGTTTCTGTACATGAGTCCCTGTGGTTAGTGTTTAGCAATGTGCTTTCATCTCAGAGTAAACGCTTTTTTGGTTTTATTTTTGCTCCTTCTTTATTTATCGCCCTGGGCATCTCCCTGACCCCCTTTGAGGCCCTGGAAGGAAAGCAAAGCCTCTTCCGCAAACCTCGGAGGGTATGTGGCCTTTTGTGAACGACGCTCATCCTGGTCACGGGGACTGAGGCAGCTGTCCTTGGAGACATTTCTCTGGTCCTTTGCAAACCAGCAACAGCCTGGGAAGTGAGAGAACACACTGCCCCAGCCCCCGGCCACGGAAGCAGAGAGGGACAGAGGGGCGTGGATGCCTCTGCGGGCCAGGCCCTCGCACTCCTGTTGTTTCTCTTCACCTTCACTTCCACGTGGTGTAGCAATGGCTGTGAGACAGGCGGTAGTTTACCCATTTCCTAGATGAGGACAATCTGGCCCAGAGAGGTAAATGAACTGACCCAAAGTCACACAGCAGCACGAGGAAGGGCAGGGTTGAAGCCCCCTGCTGGCTGGCTGTGACACTTATCTTTTCCACTAGTCCACGCTGTGGCTTGACTCATGGACAATCCAGGGTCTTTAGGTTGGTGGAATTTGGGGAAAGAGATTGAGAACCCAGAGAAGAAAGAATCATTATTTTCCTTCTCTCATCCAGTCTCGCTCCAAAGCGACTAGTATGAAAATAGTAGCTAACTTTATGGAGTGCTTACTTAGTTCCAGGGACTGCTCTGAATACTTTATTGGTGTGAAGTCATTTAAACCTCACCACCATTCTGTTGAACGAGGTGCTTTATTATCTTCATTTTATAAGTGAGGAAACTGAGGCACAGAGAGGGAAAGCAACTTGCCCAAGGTCACACAGCTCATGAGTGGCAGAGCTAGGATCTGAGAGCAGGCTGTCTCTGGAGATCACTGTTTTTTTTTTAAATTAACTAATTAATTAATTTTTAATTGTGGTAAAATACACATAACATAAAATTTATCATTTTAACCCACTTTGTGTCTAGTTCTGTGGCATTAAGTACATTCACATTGTTGTGCAACCATCACCACCACCCATCTCCAGAACTTTTTTCCACTTGCAAAATGGAAACTCTGTACCCATTGAACAATAACTCCCCATTCTCCCTTCCCCCACCTCCTGGCAAGCAGCATTTTACTTTCCGTCTCTATGAATTTGAATATTCTAGGTGCCTCCTGTAAGTGAAATCAGAGAGTTATCCTTTTGTGTCTGGCTTGTTTCACTAAGTAGAATGTCTTCAAGTTTCATCCTGTTGTAGCACGTCTCAGAGCTTCCTTCCTCTTCAAAGCAGAATATTTCATTGTATGTACATACCACGTCTTGTTTATCCACTCATCTCTTGGTGGACACTGGGTTGCTTCCACCTTTTGGCTCTTGTGAACAATGCTGCTATAAATGTTGGTGTGCAAATGTCTCTTTGAGACACTGCTTTCAATTCTTTTGGGTGTATGGAAGTCCAGAGACCACTCTTCACCGCACACTTCCTGCCTCTTACCAGAAACCCCCAGAGCTTTGTGCGAGGCCTCCCTGCAGTGACTCGGGGCGGGGGTCACTTCGAGGAAGTCCATGGGATCAGAGAAGGTGCCCTTGTCCATCGTCCCCCACCCCACACACACACAGATTGGTTTCTAGTCAGTCACTCTCATCAAGACAACAAGAAGCTTGGACTCCCATCCTCCGTGACGTGGTGTAGCAAGGAGTGTGAGTGGACTTCCGGCGACAGAGGGCTCCGGAGCCAGACTCCCTGGGCCCGAATCCGCCCTTGATGCTGCCTGGCCTTGTGATCTCGGCTAAGCTCCTGGGCCCCCCGTGCCTTATTTGTTCAACCGTTCGGTGAGGTCGTCGTCATCACCACACCCACCAGTATCTTGTCATGTGGAACAGAGTAGCAAAACATGGAAGGTGCTCACGACAGTGCCTGGCCCATGGCAGGCACTCAACAAGCGTTGGCTGTGATTCCAGGCGGAGCAGAGCCCGAGGGAGCACCGAGGACTCTGGCAGAAACTGAAACACCTGGCTAAGTCTCAGCCACTTCCTGTGTGACCTTGGGCAAGTGACCTCATCTCTCTGAGCTTAGGTCTCCTTATCATTCGGAGATGATTCTGCTTCTCCTGCTTAACCCCTGGCGGGGAGAGCAACTGAGACCTGGATATCTACGATGCTGAGCTAGATCACTGTCCTGTGTTGGTCCTGTGTCCCTGGCGTGTCAGGGGAAGGATCAACGTCTCACACTTGACACTTCCCCAAGGTCCCTCCATAGACACTCGTCATCGGACCAGTGGGGCTATGGGACCCCAGTGCTCTGTCCCTAGCATTTGCAGCTGCAAGGGCAGAACCACAGCCTTGGGGAACTGAAAGGGAATTTATTGGCTCACACAGGGAAAAGTCCCGGCAGAGCAGGTGCAGGCACTGGACGATGATATCAGGACGCTCTCTCTGTCCCTTAGCTCTGCTTTCCTCCGTGCAGGGCTTATTTCCAGGCAGGCTCTCCCTATGTGACAGCAAAGACAGCCACCAGCTGCTCCAGGCTCTCCTCAAACCCATTAGCAGCCTCGTGGAAAGAGAGCTTCCTTCTCTAAATAGTTCCAGCAACCTCCTGGGGCTGCCTCCCACCTCCTGGACTTGATCTCAAGACCATCTCAGAACATATCCTGGGATTCTGATTGGTTGGGTCTGCATCGTGTGCCCACTCCAGACTTGGAAAGGGGATCAGCCCAAGTTGAACCATGGGGACTGAGAATGGGGGACTGGTGGCTCCCCAAAGGAGAACGGAGGCACTGTTATTGAAGCCAGGGCAGGCAGGGGCAATAGGTAATGACTACAGGTGTTGAGAGCCTTGGCCAGGAAGCCTAGATTCTGGTCGAGCTCTATCACTCACTTCCTGTGTGGCCCTGAGAAAGTTACTGTCCCTTTCTGAGCTTCAGGTTCCTCATCTGGAAAAACGGGTTTGACTCCATCCGTGGGTCCCAAGCCTGGCTGCTGCTGGAATCTCCTGGCGAGCTTTTAAAAACGTCCCTTCCCTAGCCCCATCCTAGACTGTTCTAATTCAGTAGGTCTGGGGTAGGACCAAAGACTCAGCATTTTTGACAACCTCAGGGGATTCCGATGTGTTTTTACTTCTGGAATTCAATGGATGAAACAACTCCCAGGGTCCCTCCCCCTCTGATTCTAGAGTCAATTAATGTTGGCCGAAAAGCCGAACAGAAAGATGTGGCAGAGACAGCAATGCACACCAAATATTCCACTCACTCCCCAGCACTGGCCCGCACCCGTTCACTTGGGCGGGACCCGTGACTTGCTCTGGCAGATGAGATGTGCGTGAAAGTAACACGTGTCACTTCCAGGACAAGGCAGTTAAAAGCTCAGCCCCCAAACTCAGTCTCTCTCTTGCCTGCCTTGATGAACGATTTGTGAAGCAGAGCCTGACCTGCAGGGTCACTGCCACACAGCAAACTTGTGACAGCGGCCACAGGAGACACAGCGGGCTTGGGCCTTGATGTTCTTCCTTCCCTCCTTTCTCCAACTGAATGGGGGCCTCCTGTGTTGAGTGGTGATGGTCACTTCAGGCTGTAGCCCCCAGGGGACACAGAACAGGAAGGCTGTCCAAGGCCAGAGACATCCTCGCACAATTGGAGATGTGTGGGCGTGGACGGGCTGGATGGCCCTGGGCTAGTTGATACCCATGTAAGGATTAGGGTTGGGGGAGAGCTCTTGTTCCATTTGAGGTATTCTTCCTTATCAGGGCTGCAGGGCGAGCCCAGTGGGGAGGAGTGACTCACCCAGAGTCCCTGAATACCTCTGATGCGGAGGGAACTCCATCCCAAGAGGGCTCCAAATCGAGGTCATTTCCTTCCATAGAATATGACTTCAGAGTGGCTTTGACAATGTTTACACCAATGGATGGTCACTCCTTTCAGAGGTGACCCCTTGTTGCGGTTTGGAAATTTTCCCATTTGATCTTAGGAAAAACATGCCTCTGGCTTTCCATGGTAAATTCCAGCACACGCAGACACTGGGCTATACTTTGTATTTGGGCTTCTTCTTACCCTAGACAAGACCCTTATCCATGAGATTAAAAATTAGTTTTAAATTTTAATTTATTATATTTTGATTATTATTTATTATATTTACACAATTTATTATATTTCCATTTTAAATTTAAATTTTATTTATTAAAAAAATAATACATTCCCTTAGTACAAGTAATGGTTCTGGTCACCAATTACAATGTGTGTGTGTGGTTTTCCCCCACACATCAACAATTCTTGGACACCAGCAGTGTGTCCTACAATTCAACTCAGTTCTGACACTATCTACCCAGAGATAACATCAGATTCCATGGTAAGGGTTTGTTGGGGAAGAGAGAGAATCCCCTTCTGCCCTTTCCCTTAAGGTTCTTATGGCTGGCCAAATAATTAACAAGACAGGTTAGCAGGAGAAAATAATACCAAGTTTAATAACATATATACATGGGAGAAACCAGGGACACTGAGTTTCTCAAAACAATAGCAGAGATTCTCGTCTTAAATACCATCTTCAGCCAAAGACAAAGGAGGATGTTGGGGGTGGGGGGAGTCAGTTACAGGAGATTACCACTAAAGCACAGTAAACAAGAGTAAGGTTATTATGCAGATTTAAGGCCTCACCTTCCACATTGATAAGTTTCTAGAAATGAGGTCATCCCCCCTCTTCCCAATACAGAGAGGGAGATACCTTTACAAATGGAGATTTCCCTTATAAATGTAAATGTTTGTCGGGCAACTCCTTGCAGGGCCATCTAGAGAATGTGGCCAGAGACAGAATTTTTGATAAGATGAGCTTGTTGGTGCCTTTCCTATTGTAACATCTATTTTACATTATATTAAAGCCATCAGATAGTAACTCCTTCCTGGAACAGATCTTCTATGTCAAATTCTTTAGGCAGTTAGTGGGAGAGGTCAAATGTCCGTCAGAGAAAACAACCAAGGTAAAGAGATATATTTCAGGGTGGCCAAATCTTGATCTCCCACAGGTTCAATCCCACAAGACTGTCCTCAGATGTCAATCACAAGCCTCCAGCTACCTGTGCTTCTGATCAACTGGCTATTAATCAGAGGTTCCCACGAGCCCCTCCTTGGGTTCAACTAGTTGGCTAGAGTGGCTCATAGAACTCAGGAAACGCGTTTACTCACTAGATTACCGATTTATTACAAAGGATATTAAAGGATGTAAATCAACAGCCAGATGCAGAGATATGTAAGGGCGAGGTCGTAAACAAAGGAGCTTCTGTCCTCATGAAGTTTAGGGCCCTGCACGGTGGCATGTGGAAGCGTTCTGGTTCCCCAACTTAGAAACTCTCCGAAACCCCTCCTCTTTGGGTTTTTATGGAGGCTACATTACACAGGCACAATTGATTGAATCATTGGCCATTGGTGATTGATTCAACCTCCAACCCCTCTCTCTTCCCCAGAAATCAGGACGTAGGACTGAAATTTCCACCCCTCTATTCAAGGTTTGTTCCCCTGGCAACAACCAGCTCCCATCCTTGGGTGATTTCCAAAAGTCACCTTCATTAACATGAATCCGGTAGTGCTGGAAAGGGGCTTGTTATGAATAACAAGACACCCGTTTCACCTTAATGGCTCCAAAGCAATGTCAGGAACTGAGGACAATACATAATAAATATATTATAATATATCATAATATAAATATAATAAAAGATGCTCCCACTGCTCTTCTCACTCCAGAAATTCCAAGGGTTTGGAGCTGTAAGCCAGGAACTGTGGACGAAGACCAAATATATACGAGAAAGATAACTCACAATATCTTATAAATCACGATATCGCAACAAATCAGAAGATACAGAAGGATGTACAGTGAGAAGCAAGTCTTGTTCTCACACTTTCTCCAGCCTCTCAGTTCCTCTCCCAGAGTTAACTGTTGCAAATTTCTCATATATCTTGCCAAAGATATCTTTACCAGGGGTTAGCAAACTTTTTCTGTAAAGGTCAGAGGGTAAATATTTTAGGCTTTGCAGGTCATACTGTTTCTGTTGAAAGTACTCATTTCTGCCATTGTAGCTTCACAGACAATACATAAACTAATGTGCATGGCTGTGTTCCAATGAAACTTTATTCATGGACACTGAAATTTGAATTTCATATCATTTTCTTCTTTTGATCTTTTCAACTATTTAAAAATATAAGTAATTTTAATTCACTTTGAGTAAAATTTGTGCATTGCCCATTCATGTCCTTAACCATTTTTAAAATTGTTTTTTTTTCTTATTGATTTGGAAGAACTCTTTCTATATTAATGATACCACCCTTTCAGTTAATTTCTAGCTTATATTTTCCCCCAGTTTCCAAATGCCTTTAGAACTTGACAAAATGATTCTGAAGTTTATTGGCAAGAAAGAAAATTCTGAAAGGAAAAATTAAAGAGGGGGGAAATTTCCTCTCAGGT